TGGGCAGACCTGGTGACTTAGTAACAAAGGCATGCTAGGTTTTAAGTATAGGAAGCACTTTTTGCGTATGTAATGAATCGCCATTTAGGAGTGCACCTAGAGCCAAAAATGCAAACACCTTACTTACATGCACAGTTTTCCTACCCAAGGTACCTTTTCTGCAAAGCATAAACAGGCAATTTTTCCAAAAAGGGAATATTACTTAACACGGACTATGAGAAATGGGGAGCTAGTTTAGCCAACTAACTGTAGTTAAAACATAAAACCAAGTCAGATTTCCGAACTCCTACAGCTGTGTATGGCAATTCACATTGAAATTTCCTGCATTATGCCTTGTAAGGAGATTTTACCGTAATCAAAGCGACTGTTATGTCAGTAGTGTGGGTCAAACTTATTGAATGCAAACGATTGACAATGCTACATATATTTTTCGCGGTTGACTATCATAGCAACTAAATTTCCTAAAGAATACTCCGAAGTGGCTGCCAACAAGTGAAGTCAGAGGGGCGGAAGCAAATCATATATACGGGAAATATCAATCGAAATTCCGAAATGCGTTTTCGTTTCGAAAATACCAATTAAATAAGGTTGTAAAAGTGATAATCGTGCAGCATAATTTTACAATAATTCAGTGACCTCAGGATGCCGGCTTTCGAAAGAACTTCTTTCCGCCTGCATGCAAAAACCATATTCTGCACAACAGGACTATTTACATGGCGTGCATTTTTCTCATTGCTTTTCGATGCCCTTAAAAATTCAGTTATATTTTATAGAAATCATGCATACAAATATTCATTCTTTTGCTCATTCGATAGGATATTACGTCTTCTTAGAATTTCGTATTCGAAGGTTTCTTTCGGCTTTTAAAAAGTTTGTTATTGTAAGATTTTTCAATACCATGAAATGGCTGTTCATAAGACGTCATCGCTCTGCAGTTAACAGTACGGAATGTAAAGTTAACACTATGGCTCAAATCTACTGCTACATTTTATGAACCCCATGTGGTTTCCTCTTAATATCGTAGAGAAATAAATGGTTTTCCGTACGCGGAAAATGTGCGGCTTGTAGTTTGGAAGCCCTGAATGCAAATGTAATGGCAGGTCAGTCTTCACAATTATTCGGGCATTGGAAAAGTTTTTGAAAACCGAATTATATCCTTTCTTCAAGTAGATAATTGGAAGAAGACGTAACATACTACCGAATGAGCAAAAAAATGAATATTTGTATGCATGATTTCTATGAAATATAACTGAATTTTTAAGAGCATTGAAAAGCAATGAGAAAAATGCACGTCATGTAAATAGTCATGTTGAGCAGAACATGGTTTTTGCATGCAGGCGGAAAGAATTTCTTTCGATAGCCGGCATCCTGGGGTTACTGAATCATTATAAAGTGTACTGTATGGTGATTAGTTTTACAACCCTACTTAATTAATATTTTTACAAACGAAAACGCATTTCGGAACTTTGTTCGACATTTCATGAGCAAGCCCACCTACTGTAGGTAACTCGACTCTGTTTTTATGATGGTTCCTGACTACTTATGCTCCATACATGTTTCAGTCTTTCACATAAAGTATTTTACTTGTTGAAATAATGGAGCATATGGAACCACCGTTTTATTTTAATGAATCTTGGAAACAGTTAATTTGACGCAGGTAGTTGGCAGGCTATGCCCCTATGAGTCTAACCGCTGAAGATGATGGAAACAGTTTTCCAAACACAAATATCCTTAACTTTCTAAGACTTAAAATCCCTCACAGACGCAGGCAGATCATAAATTCCCAGAAACCTAGAGGCACAGACGTCGAAATGCAAACAAGGAAATGGACAGTTTGAATTTATTGCCTAAATCCGCTAACCTGTTTTAGGCCTGATGAATTTTTCAGTTTCGAGAACACAGCAAAAACCATGCGAAAAGACACAATTTCAGAACTTTGCTTTTGATTAAGGTAAACCATTTTTACAGTGTTCTCGTCAAAAGTTCGATGTCTTATCGACTAGAGATCATAATTTAAAATTATGAAGAAAAAGCTTACAACGTTGTGCCGTTTATTAAGTAACAGACAGACTGCTTGATGATTTGCAGAAAAACAGTTTATAACGTTCCCAACATTGCACATTGATTGCAAGAAAAAAGCCGTAACTACGCGCTTACATGTCTTAGGAGCACGCAGTCCTTGAAAGACGTCGGACAGGGCATGTTTCTGATTTTATCTGTTGATATAACAAAAAGAGGGTGAACTATTAAGCAAACACAGGACAAATGCTATCGAAATCAGCAAGTGTGGTACATATATTTGAAAGGAAAATCAGTGCTGCAAAGAATCGCTAGCGATCAATAGCAGGCCAGGTCCGTTCCATAATGTGACGTTTATATACAGTGGATGTCAATCGACGTTGAAAACCCCGGATTAGGCTTAGGAAAGCGAAATAATGACAAAAAAGCTTTCGTATTTGTGTTATTTAACGGTTGTGGGTGCTCTAATCTCCTCTCTCGACCCACTGTTATATGACCGGGAATGTGAAAAGTTCTGTTTTAATTCCTTGAATTGATGAGTATTACATTGAGTGAGAATTAAAATTTCTAACCCACTGGCTTTTCCCAACTTTACCTTCTAACGATCAAGCGGTCGAGAGCTTTTTTGAAACCTATGATTTCGTGGTGCAAATGAGCTGGTAAAAGTCTGCGGAAAGAAAAGTTTAGGTGTGCTGGGCATCACTGCTAGTAACAGAATCCGTGGCAGTATTTTCAGTATCGCGACACAGCTACCTTGACTTGATGGTTATGAGTAGACAGACATTAAGCGTGGAAATGCATCTTAAACGAATTTCGTACCATGCCTTGCCACGCAAATTAAGACAGGATTAATTGGCTGTCATAATTCCCGATGTTACTGCACAGTATACTGCCATTACATCGGTTGATTCTAAAGTCTATGAACAGGTGAGCTGAAAAAGTCTCCAAACAGCTATGACTTAGCACAAAGCCTTGTCTATGTTGCCTTGCCTTGAGCATGGGATATAAGACATGGAACAAAAATAATTCTTTGGAAGAAAACACTTGACATACGAATAGGTTCAAAGAGATGAAGAAGCGTGTAATGGTCTTTTACATTACTTTTTAATTAATGAGGCTGTGACGCCAAGTTGGGACCGTCGTGGGACTAGTATAATCGACTTTATAAAGAAATTGGGGGGTACAAAGGTGCCAGTTGTGGGTCCGCGTTAAAGTCACAGTAGGTTATTCACTTGCCTGCAGGTGTTGGCTACGCCTAGCGTCCATAAACTGAAACCCAAATCTCACACGTGGCTCCTTGAAACTCAGTTGTGTCTAGCAGCCACACACCGGGTAACCGCCTCGACTGGCGGGCTAAACCATGTGGACGTATCCGTCTGAGTATCTCCCACGGTAAGTCTACTCTCCTCCCTCCGTCTCCTCCCAACTTCACCATGCCCCATCGCCTCTACTTTCTACTACCCTTCTTCTCCACCCTTCCCATCCCTCCCTCTCCCTCCCGCCCCTCCTCCTCCTCCTCCTCCTCCTCCTCCTCCTCCTTCTTTTCCTCATTCTCCTCTCCATTCCCCTCCCCTCATCCTACCCGGACCCCTCCGCCCTTCTCCCCCCTCTCTCCTTTCTCTACTCTCTACTCCACTCTTTTCCCCCACGGTCGTAAGTCCTGCGGTGAGGGTGACAGACATTCACGTAAACGGCCCAAGCCATTGGTTGTTTGCTCATCAAACCCCGTGACCCGTAGTGGACAGCGGTATCCGTCTGGTGCGAGAAAGCAGCCTATTTAGGGAGAGCAGTGCTTACCCATGCGAGGGGCTGGGCATAAAGGTGCCCTAAACAAAGCTGGGTCCCTGATATCTGGTCGCAGACCGTGGCTCGCAGACCGCCACACGTGCGGACGAAACCATCAAAACAGAAACAGTACTCTCTCCCTCTACCTTCTCCTCCGCCCACCCCATAGGCTGTTAGGATGAGTCCGCTCACTGTGACAGCCTGGAATATTCGTTCCCCTTTCGGCAATCCTAGGAGCAACCGGCCGGAACGGAGGACGACGCTAGTCGCTCGGGAACTGGCGCGCTACAAGGTGGACATCGCTGCACTCAGCGAGACCCGCCTCTTCGAACAAGGCCAACTGGGGGCGGTGGGTGCCAGCTAAACCTTCTTTTGGAGCGGTCGCCACAGGGCAGAGCGATGGGATGCGGGCGTTTCTTTTACCATCCGGAACGACAGCGTGAGACGACTGTCCTGCACTAGGGAGCAAATTACATAAGTTGCCTGCTCCAACGTCATACAAGAACGACAAAATGATGCACAGCCTGTCGTCAAAGGAGTTGACGGAGAAACGAATGCAAGTGTTAAGGCATGAGGCCTCATTTAACACAGTCTATGCCAAACCTGCCAACATGGTTGTAGCAGGGGATTCAATTCTCAACCAGACGGAAGTGACAGACAAACAAGGTGTCACCCCTCCTCAAGTCTGGTAGACTGTGCAACTTGCTTCCCAAGGTTGAAAGTGATGCAGTTAAGGAATTCTGGGCGGAAAACGACTTGGTTATCTTGCCTGCGGACAAGGGGCGTACCACGGTTGCATTGGACAGGACAGATTACATTCAGAAAGCCAAACGCTTGTTGGAGGATCGTCAGTACAACGCCCCTTGTGAAGCCAACCTCATAAAGACGATGACACGCAAATCAACGCGACGCTGTGGACGATGGAGAACTCAGATGCAATATCACTGATCGACCGACGCGTGGCTAGAGCGCAGCAAACGGCCTAGCCCGATTATACGGTCTCCCAAAAGTGCACAAAGAGGGCGCTCATCTCCGGCCAATCATATCACTAAAAAGCACTCTAACCTACGGACTAGCAAAGCGGCTTTTCCGATATTTAAAGCTTTTGACCCCATCTCCGGTCTCCTTGTCTAGGTCGTGACACTGAGTTCAGGTGGGGAGGAGGCGGGAGTGCGGTAGGTGCCGAGCAAGTCCGTCCTAACTATAAACTAATTCGCGCTCAAGTCACCGCGCCTGCCTCAGTACGTTTTGGAGCACACGGTGGGCACCGTCTTGCACGATGCTCAGGCTATCATAAAGAGATCTATGGAAAAAGAATGCGGTGGGCGAAAACAGGATGTAATTGGCCCTAGGTGCTCTTTCGAAAGATCCCCATGAAACCTGCACTCGCGTTTTAATATATGCATTTAGTTGGCAATTTGTCCACGTTTTCCAAAGAAGGTTCCTTTGGAAGTCTGACCATAGAAGCGATTGTAGTCGGCTTTCGCTGAATGGACGACTTCGAGTTCTCGTAATTTCGTCCCTACTGTCAGCCGACTGTCATGAGCGAACAGACCGTCACGGTGACGCCAACAACGATAGGAACACTGAGGGAATTTAAAGGAGGCAGAATTGCCGTCGAAAATGAGATAAAAAATACGATCGGGACTTATGTACGAAGGATATGATGCTTAAAAAGGGAGTTTAACCACCAGAGGCCACTTTCTCCATCTTCTTGTCCACAGGAGAGAGGTTTTGGGGCATAAACTTGCCCAGAGAATTTCGCACAAACGGAGACGAATGGACAAATTTCATGTTCAACTTCTCTTTAGATGCACATGACTTCCTCGGTTTTCAGTAACCGCATAAAGAAAGACTTCATTCTACAAGGCACGCATTCGTGCAAATCGCCTAAAAGCTTATTGGATTATCACAGGCAGAAAGCTGATGGATCATCTAAAGCCTACAGGTCAAATCGCCACCTAGTTCTCAAAAAATACTGGCGTTTCTGCAGTTGACCTAATTCATGACTAAGCCGCGGATTAAAATGGGGCCGCGTCGTCTGGTCTTTGGCGTATGTGGAATAAATTTTGAAGAGTTTTGGGTTCATTCATGCCTTGTACAGTTCCTCTGAAGAACACATATTTTGGCAATTTGAAAGCGGCAGGGTTTCACAAACATAAAACTCAAAATGGACAGTAAAGAAATAACGTAGTGCAGTAAAGGAGTATTCAGGACAGTTTAGTCTCTTTCCACCTGCGAACAGAAGGCACTGACAAATAAAATGGCCAAAACACAAACTGGTCCGCAATTTACACATAAACACACTAGCCATACTGAACTTCCAGATCTCTGCTCTTTGCTGTTCGAGATCACTCCAAATGGTACTAGGCAAACCGCGATTCGTAGTAGAGTTCCTGGTGCACATTGAACCCTGTATTATTATTGGCAGTCAGAAGGTAAATAAGCTTTGTAATTCATGGCTATTTGCATGACAGCACTGTGTTTATTTGGGCTAATGTGATGGACAAACTTACTGCTCCCGCGAAGGCCAAGGAAAAGTTATATGGACCGATTGCATGCATTAGCTCAATAAATTATCAGAGGTTTTGCGAAGGTGGAACGATATTGCTTGAGCAATAATCTTATTTGCTTGACGTTCAGACTCCCACTCGAATGCACCATCATTGGATAAGGATAACGGATGCGCGCGGGCAAACACCTTTTGCAGTGCCAGTGTCTTGAGCCAAGTGACGGGGTTGCCGTCACGCCAACAACCAGCACGAATGATTGCGTCGCGGCCATTAACAACTTAGCTGTGGGCCATCAAGGAATTATTGCATCAAGGTCAACCATCTGCAATGAATGCGGGGCCAGCATTCGGAGCCAGGCATGCGGAGGCATAGCAACTACATCCCACAAATGCTGCAATCCTCGTGCGGTTATTATCCTTGCCCGATGCAACCTCTGACGATGCGTTCGAGTGCGACTCCAGAATGCCAAGCAGGTAATGCTATTTTTCCAGCGATCGCCTCTTCTTCTTCTTATTCTAAACAGCTTTCTGGAGCTTGCATTCTTGATTACATCGACAATTAAGAGCTGTGGTGCGTAACGACGCAGACCTAAGAAAACTTCCTCGGACTGCACCATGTCTTTACCTAAATCCTGCTGAATTCAGAGGATAACGACGAAAAGAATTGCTAATAAAAATCAATATGATTGGAGTGACTCCTCCAATCAGCCGTACTTTGAACTCAGGAAGAGGAAAGCCCTTAACGAAAGTGATTTTTGCATTGATCTTCGGGTCTGAACAGATAAATTAGAGGGGTTGGTTTTCGGCCGCTAAAGCCAGAACTAGTAGGGATCACGGAAAACTTGTGTTTGGTGACCCGTGTCGGCTGCAGAACGAAGTTTGAATGTTCATGTTTGGCCACGGAAAACACAATTTAGAGCCCTAGTAGACGGTCGTGAACTAATGATCTATCACCAACCTTGACCGGTTGCGTGTAAGTGAAGGGTAAATTGCGAGAAGAGCTCAAAGACAGAACAAATGCTAAAAGAATGTCGTCCACTGAGTGGGTAAATGTGGGAAAGTATAAGCAATATTGAGGAGCGTGGTTGAACGGCTAGAATTGCATTTTGTTCGTTAAATGGAGAAACTCGACCCTACAGAGTACGCTGAAATCCGAGTTAAACAGAAATAATGTTTTAGTTTAGTGGACGATTACAACAAATAAAAACTCAATTCTAAGTGAAAAGAGAAATGCCTGGTTAAAGGGGAGATGAGAAAGAGGAATAAGCTGTCTATGTTAAAATAAACAGACTTCGAATTTTTCAATAAAAGGACATTCCAGTAATCACGTGAAAAATACAAAAGTAACGGTAGCGGAAATGAGCCCAAAGGTTACGTGTGGGGCGGCGCGCCGGAAAGTAAGCTCACGGAATGCAGGAAAACACGGAGGACAGTCGGTGGAAAAAACTTTACTTTAGAGTAAAACGATGAATGTATGCAGATGCAATATCCTGCGGGATATTGCTTGGCGTTCTCCCCTGCTTCGCGACGTGCAGGCATCATGAAATGCTGCTATGTTTCGTCAGCACTCTATGCGTTTTAAATACGGTTGTTTGTATTAAACTGTAACTGGTAAAAGAGGGCCGTATAAAACTAGTAGAATATTGAGGCATTGTAAAAACCTTATTTTCCACTGAAAAAGTGCTAGTCTGAAAGCTATGCGTCCGTCGGGCGAAAAGATATTGGGGGTAATCTCAGTGTTCTTGCCACAGACCTGACGGCATCCAAATGTGCAATTAGATTGTCCTTTTAAAGTTCTTGATGCACAGAAGCAAGCATATGGGATGCAAAAGCAAATTCAGCATAAAACTACTTGCTGTCACTTGAGTGGCCGAAGGACCGACGGGGAATGCATGTTTCGTTATGCATCTTGCATGCAAACAACGCCCTAATAAACGCTTGATGAGACTCCAAAGAGAGCAAACTTCTTAAATGCGATGTCGTAATGGATGATTATGAAGTAGAAATTTGTACATAATGTTGTCACGTGATATCAGCGCTCCGTATCAACATCTCTGGCACGATACCTTACACGTAAGGAGAGTGAAATGCAGAGATTGAGACCCTAACTGTCGCCGTAATAGTTGTGCAGTTTGTGTAAACCCACTTACCTTCTTATCATCTACTGATTTGTATTCTGGCCACGACAATGGGATGAGACTTTACTGAAAATCCCGAAGTGATGTTTTCGAAATAAAACGTTTCCTCTCTTCCTCTCAATCTCTCTCTCCTAGCTTCAGAGAACTGTTTAATGAAATCTTCTTCAAATAAGTGAAATCTGCCCCATTTCTTCGAAAATAATTTCGAAATTGGACGTTACTTCAAAAGTTTCTCCGCAAAAATCGGATTAGCAGGTATACTCTTTGAAAGGATTTCCAGAATTTGCTCGCGCTGTCTGGAAACAGTGCCAAGTAGTCACATGTCTTGTAATCATGAGCGAACTTGGCAAACAAAAAGAAGTATTTTCTACACTGGTTTTCGATATGGAAAGAAG